CTCTTACCACATTTGTGGATGTATTTGTAGCAAACATCAATATCACTGTACAGGATTCTGTCAAACCTTTGTACATTTGTGGGTACGCTCCTACTCTCCCTTCCAGCCTGTGTATCCATCCATCAAATGCAGTTATTCTTATATCACCTTATTTCCTCTGGCTCTTTGTTTGTTTCATCAAGCTTGTATTTCACAGGGAATCAAGCTGCTTTTTTTTGCAATAGCAAAGTATAGTGGAAACCGTCTTCATTCTTCATTGTTTTTATTTAGGAAAATTATAAAACTTCAAAGGATAGTACAGTGAACATCTGTATAGCCTTTATCTAAATTAAATACCATTATCTCATAATAGCAATGTAAAATTGAGAGAATAAAATAATCTGCAATACATATTTAAAATGTTGCAGTTATTCACACATCTATTATTGATACATCCTGTCCTCCCTCCCTCTTTCCCACCATGAGACTTTATTAAGATTACATACTGCATTTGGTTGTCATGTCTGTTAGCTGTTGCTGTAAAGTGCCTGCGAGTTAGTTCTGACTCATAGCAACTCTATATAGGGTTTCCAAGGAGCAGAAACTGTGTCTCTTTAGTTTCTTTTTATCTAGAACAAGACTTGGCGAACTTTTTCTTAAAGGACTAGATAGCAAATATTTGTCTTTACAGGCCATGTGATTTCTGTTATAACTACTGCACTCTGACATCGTACTGAGAAAGTAATCAGAGACATAGTATAATCAAATGGGCATATCTGTATTCCAGGACAGCTTTATGGAAAAAGACAGGCCGTAGCACAGCTTCTTGTATTACTGTTTTTAAAATATAATGGTACTAATAACTATTTGAAGAATCTCCACTATGTACATTTTGAGGATGTACCCTAGTATGGATTTAAAAAAAAATATTTCCCTTGCTACTCTTTTTCAGGTTAGAAATGTCATGTAATCATAGAGTTACTTTCACAATAGAAATGAAAATCTGATTCCTTGAGGAAGATTTTAGTTTAATTGAAAATAAAATCTCTCTTCTTTTTCTTTGTTCGCTCTGCTTTGGTGTATGTAATATTATTGCCTAGAAATTTGATAATTAAATTTAACTTCCAGATTGCTAATTCCTTGATATTCTCTTTCAGATATCTACATTTTTAAATCTATATACTCTTTTATATAAAAATTTTTATATTCACAGAAGTGAATAAAGAATTCAAGCGGACTTGGATACTGAAAGGTAGTGATAATAACTTAGGTATAGACTTGAAAGGTATTTATAATTTAGTCATATATAATTCTGTAATATAAAAGCTTAAAGTTATCTTTTATTTTATGTTGATGACATGGAAAAAAAAGTAAAATAGTCACTTGCCACAGGTAAGCTCACTATTCTTACCATTGTTTATGAATCAGCTTTAGAAATACATAAGTACAGAACATTTTTGATAAATTTAGTATAAAGTTGTTCTGTGGGGAAAGCTAACTATATTTATGTCCATGCAAAAATATATGGAATTTTAAAAGTAAACCTATTAGTTGATTGAGAGGCAGAAATGAGAGTAGCCTTCATCACACTTTGATCTTGGTTTGATCCTTTATAAATTTATTTTCTGTTGTTATGTAAAGACCAAAATCATATTCTACTTGAGGTCTTCTTTTTATGGTTGAGTACTGTCACGTCTTTCACTGTTTTTCACATCCAAGCTCCACCACGAAGAGCTGGTATTGTCTTGGCAAATTACTTAATTGGAGCCTTACTTTCCTTGCCTATAAGATAAGGATAATGACATTACATGTCTCAAATGTATTGTTAAGATTGGGTTATTATAACAATACCTGGCATGCAGTACACAGTCAGTCAATGTTAGTAGTTATTGTTATTTCACAGTTATCCATCTGGTCTGTTTGTGAATCTGTTCTCTCTGAGAAAGTAGAGCTGAATGCAGTGGCAAGTGTTAACTAAACAGTCCAGAAATAGTAGAATGATCACTTCTTTTGTTCTAGTTACCACTTTTCCGCTTATTAATTTGGACAAAAGTTGGAGTTTTGGAGTTTGTTGTTGTTCATTTTTAATTTTATTAGGGAGAATTTCAAATAGACCAAAAAAAGAGAAAAAAGTTTGAACTCTCATATATCGATTATCCAACAATAACATGGCTAATCCTGTCCAATTCATACACCATACAATTCCTTTTCTCTTTCTCTTGTGCAGTTGTAATTTCTCTGTTATATCTAAGTGCCGTATGATTTATCCTGAGAGTTACTAAAACTTCCTGTTCTCTTAGTAAATAATTGCTGAATAAATGAAAAAAATGAATCTTGCCTTGATCTGGATTGCTCCTTGATCAGATTCTGTAGTTTGATTTTTGCATGTAGGCTAAGTAGGTGGGTAGGATTGAAAATAGATTTGTCTGTGTCATACTTCTTTACTAGATGTCACCCCATTTTAAAAATCATTCCTTCTACTTCTACCTAAGTATATATGTTAATCTGACTGATAAACTATCAGAGTACTCTTGGAAATGAGTAAGATTATCTAGGATAGAACACTTGAATGTATTATTATCTTAGAATCTTTCCATTTATGATGTGCTTTTAAGTCTTCATCAGTGTTTATCCTATAGTCCTTTGAATCTGATGATCATTTTATCTTGACAAAAAAGAAGTAGAGTAGGGATTGAAGAGTTACTTTTCCTTTCAGCTCTTATAGAATTATTTTTTAAGACAGATTTATAGTATAATCACTTATATGCAGCAAGACTGTTAGAGTTTATTTGTTTCAGATAGAGGTCTTCCTCTATGACTGTCAGTTTTCTTCATACATAACAAAGCTACCTTTGTAACTGACAACATTTTCTTTTTTGTAAACTTCATTTATTTATAATTATTTTCTTACCTGTGTCTTACTAATTGTTATGTACTCTGCTTACAACAGTGTGCTGAGAATTTAATAGATTCACCATTCTTTTTATTTGGTACAGAAAGTATGGAACCCAGGATTAGAACAGGTTAATCATGTTGTAGAAACTCCACAAGTCTGATTATTCAGCTATAGGCATTTAAGAGTATTGTAGAAATTTGTTCAGCACCCAGTTCCCTATTATCCCCTGGATATCTGTCTTTTGTGAGCCTGCTTAGTAGAAACAGCCAGCAGAAGCAGGGTTTGTATTCACCATGCACTTGAAAGCAAAAGGAGGCATAGTAAAAGTGAGTTTTAGTAGCTTATCCTAGAGTGATTTGTTCTGCAACCCTAACTTTCCAAATATACAGTTCTGTCTAGCCCTAGCTTTTCAAATGTAGATTTCTGTTTAGCCCTAACTTTTCAAATGTAGAATTCTGTCTTTTAAATGAAATATCACTAGCTAATGTGGCATCTAACCCATCAGTGTTACCAGCTTTTACTTTAATTATTAAAACAGCTCATCAGGGATTAATTAACAAGGGACTTGTGAACAAGGATAAGAAGATATGTGAGCTGGGGGCTTGAGAAAGTGTACTCATAGTGAATGTTAATGTCTCAGTTACACTAAGGCTGTGAACCTAAAAATTACATTATTCACCTTTGAAATTTCACTTAGTATGCCCACTTCTGGACTTAAAGGATTGAATATACTTTTTAGTTGCACTGATCGTCCATTTATTTTTAAATTTATTCAAAACAATTTATTGAGCATCTGTATCCTGGGAACTGTGCCGCAAACAACAAAACAGATGTGTCTCCCATTATGGTATTTACAGTCAAGTGGAAAACAGAATAAGATTTATTTGAAAAATAAATAGAAAAATGTACTTCACTAATAACCATTTATTTCGTAGTGAATTTGAGTGACTTCTTCATGATTCCTTTTGCAAAATATATTTGAGCATTTAGAGTTTTATGTTAATATGTTTTTATAGGTGATAATTAGCAAAGCAAGACAATTTCAACTAAAAGACTAAAAAAGTGAATTAGTTTGTACATTAGCATCATGCTGAGATTTCTGGATAATGGAAAATAGATTTAAATAGACCCTTAAGCAGGAAAGTAAATTTAGACCTTCCTTCTCTACAAATATTCACTATTTAAGAATTGGACATTTGTTTTATTTTAAATGCTAACCCCCACCCCCAAATAAAACAAAGCTAAAACCAGCTTTCTTGAAGGAAAGTGAGCCTCTTTTACATTAGGGAGTGTAAAAGAGAGCAAATGAGAGTGTGAGACTTCAAACTGGGTTATGTAACTGTATCCAGTGACTCTGGGCATGAAAATGTGTCTTAATTATTTATTCTAACAAGCTCAAACAGGGAGGATGGAATTGGCAATCCATCATTTTGTTATGTGCTCTCAAGAAGATTCAGAGTCCCAACAACCTTATAGGGCACAGTAGAACCTATCAGTGAGATTTCTTAGGCTGTAATCTTTACCAGGGAGTCCCGGTGTGTTGCTGTAGAATGAGCACTATACCACTAAGCTCAAGGTTGTCTATTCAAACCCACCAGCTGTTCCTCAGAAACCTTATACAGGGTCGCTGAGTTGGAACCAATTCAACAGCATTTAACAACAACAACAGTTTTTACCAGATCACCAGGTCCGTCTCTCATGGAACTTATGGTGTGGGTTGGAACCACCAACTTTAAGTTAGCAGCTGAGTAATTAACCATTGTGCCACCAGGACTTCCTGATCCCTCCCAGTACTAAAAGTTTATGATTTTAATTAGGGGGGAAAAAAGATAAGTAGTTTTTTAACGGCTGATTATTGGGAAGCCAAGATGCTTTTTTTACTGTTTGTACTTGTTCAGGTTCAAGAACTAGAAAGAATGGCGGGGAAAAGGCTTTGCTTTCTCTAACTGATTTATTCTGACTAGGTACTTCGTAACTCAGGAAAACCATTTATTTCCATAAACGCTTTCACATAACTTTAAAGAGAATGTATGACTTAATAGTAGGTCATGGCTTGAACTCAGTTCTTAATAATAATTGTTATTAGAAGAAAATTTTAGTGAGATATTTTTCTTTGTCTCTGTAGTTATCAGAGACTGTTACAGACGATTGCTGTACTCGAGGCTCAGCGTTCTCAAGCAGTTCAAGATCTTGAAAGTTTAGGCAGACACCAGAGGGAAGCACTAAAAAATCCAATTGGATTTGTGGAAAAACTCCAGAAGAAGGTATACCTTGAGCACTTTTGAGATATATTTGGTAATATTTTAGAGAATTTGATTTATTCTTTAATATGAGTGTATATTTAAAGTTTTATTTTCCCCCCTTTCTTGGAGTCCTGGTGTGGCGCTGTGGGTTAATGCGCCAGACTGCAAAGCCATTTGAACTGCAAGGTCGGCGGTTCAAGCTCACCAGCTCTCCTTGGAAACCCTATACAGGGTTGCTATGGGTCAGCACTTAAAAACAACATAACAACAACAAACAATAGTTAACCAACAAACAATAGTTAACCGTACTACTGAAGGCACGCTGTTGCCTTCTCCCAGCCCCGTTAAACACTCAATAAAATATTGCCACATGAAAACTCCTAATACCTTTTATTGGATATTTATATAGGACTTTGATGTCTGAGACATTTTCCTAACTTTTACAGGCATCTTTCCATTTTTGAGTGTTTTCCGTGTTTGATTTCAGAATTAGTAAAACTTAAAAAAAAAAAAAAAACTTTATATGACTTATTCAGCTGTTGTTTCTGGTTACTTTTACACATCAACATATTGAGATAGCAAACAATGGTGATTGAAAACAGATAATCTGTTTTAAATGTCTTTAAGGTTGTGGTAGATAAAATCAGGAGATTCTTAACACAAAGCCATATACTTTGAGGGAATGAGTCACTGGGGATTCAGGACTATAATCTCAGTGTACAACAGGGTCAGTTGGCCTACCATAGTTCACAAAGAAAATGTTCTCCTTGCCTCTCCCCCAAAAATCCATGAGCTGGAAGTATACATTTTGCTTAGCTTTAATGCCATCCTTTTTTCCTGTGAAAAATCCTAATTTTCTCTTTTCTTAAAAAAACTTTTATGTTAACCCTTTGAAAATGACAGCAGGTTTTATTATAACTTTCTTAATATGTAAATATTGAATTGATCCAGATGTGCATTTATGCTGTAGTAAGTCTCTTGAATTATCAACCCACCTATTTCCCATTAAATTTGAGAGGCATAATACTTGTGTGAATCAACATTGTGTGAAAAGATTAAAACAAAAAACTGAAAAAGAATCTTGTTTGCTTTTTAAAAGACATGAACTATGTAACATGACAACTTAAGCATCTTTTTGAGTCACCTGTTTTTAGAGTCCTGGTGACGTGCTGTGGGTTAATGCACAGGACTGTAACATTGGTTTGAACAGTGAGGTTGGTGGTTCAATCTCACCAGCTGCTCCTTGGAAAAAGTTGTAAATTTAAAGGATTTCTCATTTTAAACATTTGCAAAAATTGCTATAAAGTATAGAGACTATGAATGTATTTTACTAGCAAAATAAAGTGTACCTTAAGTGAAATTCACTGTTGATTTAATAATTACTTCACAGAAGCATAGCATAGGCATATTAGCATTTATGCCAATTTTGCTGTCTATGCCAGAATGGTTTCTGTACACAGTTCAACTCTAAGCACCATCAAATATGGTCAAGCTGAACAGAACCAATGGTTATATGATTCCCAGAATAAAACTCTGGCCAACATATTTTTTCAGAACAGCAAAATAAGTCATGCAGATCAGAAAAGGAGGCAATGTTTTGTTTAAATGTACTACAGAATGCTGAGTGTTCCTTTTTTTTTTTTAAATAACAAAATTGTATACTCATTAATAATGTAACTTAATACCAAGTGAAGTAGTGTTAGAGACAGTTAAACAGAAACCAGGCTGCAGCTTAACTCAAAAGTAAATGTTGTGTTGTTTTTTTTTTCAGATCAGATTAAAAACTGAAATAGTATTAAAAAAAAAAAGTTGTACTGTTACTTAAGCTATTGATGCAAACAGATTTCTACTTTAATTCACATTATTCTAACTAGTACTTTTGCATTTCAACTCTGAGTAGACTTTCAGTAGTGCTTTAATCACATGCAATTAGTAATTTAACAGGACAGCAAGTAATTTTGTTTGTTCACACTTACAAATACGGTCATTTTCATTACAATTTGCAGTTCTTGCTCCTTGGAAACCCTATAACTGGGTCACTGTGAGTCTCAACTGACTCGAAGGTACTTAACAATGGTTTACCAGATGCTAAGGGGCAATCGTGGGGACTGTATTTATGTGTATTAATTTATTATTTGGAAATTTTTAGTGATAATATTTGGTAGACATTCTTCTGCATGCTCTCAGAAAACATTGAATAGTATAACAGATGTAGAGTCTTAAATATTGATTTGCTCAAACTTCTGACATTTTTAGAGTTCTGTTTTAGAACTCCCTCTGCTAAAATGGGCCTACTTATGTGTTTATTATTTCTGCATTGCTCTTATTAACCAATGTGCTGGTGCAAAAAGATACAATACTTAGTGTTTATAATGGATTCAACTAACAGATGATATAAGAAAAGTAGATATTAATAAAAATATATTAATCTTAGACACGTTTACTAGATTTGCATGCTGTTGGTGTTTGCCAGTTCTCCATTTCCAGATTTAGTATAGAACTAAATTTCTTCATCAGTTTATCTTAGAAACAGAAATGTGATATTGACCATCATAGAATTTTTTTAGAAGTGTTCAGAAGTGTACTAAATCTAGATTCCTTAATAACCATTAAAGACATACCAGGGATCTTTAAAAAATTTAGTGGAAAAATGAAATTAACGGATAAGGGAAATTTTCCAAGAGGTTTTTGAAGCCCCCTTTGTATTTCTTGACTGGAATTTTTTCTAATAGATTTAACTTAAAAGTTTATTTTATTTACTCATACATGCTTAATTTTCCTATTTTGTTTAGGTTGACCATATTAGTTAATTTTGATTTGTGGTCTGTTTGATTTAGTTGTTGTTAAAATGCTGTTGAGTCAATTCCAACTCATAGTGACCCTTCACAGGATTTCCAAGGAGCAGCTGGTGGGTTTGAGCTGCCAAACTTGTGGTTTGCAGTCCATTGCTGATCCTACAGCACCACACCATGAATCCTTGATTAGACATCTAAAAACTCCCAATGGCAATGAATGAAACTTATGGTTTATATTGGTATATAAAATACAGGGAATTTTTATGATTTCCTAGATTTGTTTCAAATTATTATTATTTCAAAAGGTATCATCCTTTAATTTTGTAAAACGAGAGCTTTATGTTAATATATATTATTGTTATTATTTAATACTTAAGCAAAATAAAAATTATAATTTTATGTCACAAAATAGATTTAGCTTGTTAGTTTTAGAATTTATAATCATATATTTCCCCTAATGTTTCAACACACAAAAATTGAAATGTATAGTTAACACATGAATATCTACCAACTAAATTGTACAGTTGACATTTTACTGTGTTTGCTTTATCATATATCTGTTATCCTTCTACCAACCTGTCAATCCATCTTACTTTTTGATGCATTTCAAAGCTGCAGATACCATACAGACTTCACAAAACGCACTTGAGCTTGCATATCAAGTACAGTTTAAAACTTTTTTTGAATGAAATTTACGTATGACAAAATCTACAAATGCTAATTCCTTGAGTTTTGACAAATACATACATACACCTATGTAATCCAAATCTCTAGCAAATATAAAGATTGCTATACAACCTGGTTTTAATAATTATAATAGTAATTAGCTTTTTTAAGAATGTTGATAAAGTAATTGTACTCCAGATAAATTGAAGGTATTATTTTGATTTTTAAATGTCATACATACATAGATGTGATGAGTTAAGTTAATGGATTCTGGAAATATTTTTTCCAGATAAGCATGGGGTACATTTCTGATAAATTTTCTAATGTGTTACAATCAGGCACATTTTGTATGCTTTTCTTAGAGGTACCTACCTCTTTTTGCTTTGGCATTTATGTTTGAGTGTGTAGTTTAGTTTTTTTTTTTTGTTTTTTTTTTAATGTTTTGCCCAATTTATTTTCATTTACTTATCTTCTTAATGTTTTATTAAGATATTTTAATAATTTAAATTGTATCTTAACTTTACTAACTTTTGGATTCAAACAGTTTATTGGATTTAGAGTCAAATGAAATTTGACTATGGTTGATTATTTCTTTAATTAAGTTTTGTTTTTTTTTCCTAGGCTGATATAGGGCTTCCGTATCCACAGAGAGTTGTTCAGTTACCCGAGATTTCATGGGACCAATATACTAGTAGCCTTGGAAACTTTGAAAGAGAATTTAAAAATCGTAAAAGGCATACTAGGAGAGTTAAACTAGTTTTTGATAAAGGTAAGAAATCACATAATAAGAATTATAAGTGGAGAAATATCTGGTAGTGCCTTGCTTTAATAATTCTGTACCTGGACTTGTTTTTAGTAGGTTTACCTGCTAGACCAAAAAGTCCTTTAGATTCTAAGAAGGATGGGGAGTCCCTTTCATACTCTATGTTGCCTCTGAGTGATGGTCCAGAAGGCTCAAACAGTCGTCCTCAGGTAAGTAATATATTCAGTGGGAAAGTTTAAATAGTAGATAAATGTTTTTCTCAGCTTGCTGATAATGTGTTCTTAAAAGTAAGAGTAGGAAATTTTGAATTGTAACAAAACTTTTTCACATCATTTTAGTGTTTGTTCTAAAAATTCAAGTTTTCACTAAAAAACTTGTATTTAGTGTGGGCTTGAAATTTCAAGTTTTGAGAAACCTGGGCTGAAATCCCAGCTTCACCACTTACTAGATATGAAATGTCGGGTACCACTTAAGTTAAAGTCTCCACACTGTAGTTTCCTCTGATGTAAAATGAAATTAATATCATCTAGGTCTTAGTAGTCTTGGTGTGGCACTGTATAAAGCACTGGGACTGCAAGGTTGAAGGTGCAAACTCACCAGCTGCTTCTTGGAGACCCTATACAGGGTTGCTATGAGTCAGAACCGTCTTGATGGCACTTAATAACAACAGGTTGTAGGTGTGATGAGGATTAAATGAATAATATCTGCAGTATGTTTAGTAGAATATCTAACACACATTATTAACTCTAAAAACAATAACTGTTGTTAAAGAGTAGAATGTGAACATGACTTGAGTCTTGGTGTTACCACTCTTAATTAGATGTATGTCAGTAGATATATTGCTTTTCCATTTTGAACCTACATTTCCTTTTTTGTTTTTAATTAAGTTTGTTGTTATGTGTCATCAAGTCGGTTCCAACTAATAGCAACCTTGTGTAGGGTTTTGAGGGGCAACTGGTGGATTTGAACTGCTGACCTTGCAGTAAGCTGTCCAGTGCTTATCCTCAGCACCACTGTAAGACTCCTTAATGAAGTTATTGTTGTCTATATCAAAGGATTGCTAGTAGTATAAAATAAAATGAAATAAAGAATATGAAACCATTTGTAAATAATAAAAACATACACATTAAAAATAAATTTACTAAAATAATTTTAATTAATTTAAAAATCACATAATTTGTATATTATTAGATTATATCAAAGGATAGTCTTTACTATTTTCTCCTTGATAAAAGACTTGCTTTATACACAGATGATAAGAGGACGCCTGTGTGATGATACCAAACCTGAAACATTTAACCAATTGTGGACTGTAGAAGAACAGGTAATAGATATTTCTAAATTGCATGTTGTTGTTAAATGACGTCAACTTCCTTCAAACTCATAGCAACCCTGTAATTGGGTTTCTGATGAGCAGCTGGTGAGTTTAAACCGCTGACCTTGCTTAGGTTTTTTTAAAAATCCAAAACTGCAATATTAGAGTCAGTATTGTGAATAAAGTACGAAGGGGTTTTAAAACGTTTATGGAAAATTTTCATTATCTTTCAGTTTTTCTTTTCCATAAACTCTCTGAAGTTATCTCAAATAATACTGTTTTTGGTAATTACTCTTAACCATGGATTCCTCTTTTATAAATTGAAAATATATAGATATTGCTGTATACCCTTTCACATATTTTAAGGGCTTTAAATTTGGAGAATATATGAATTTCTGTTTGGGGATAAATCAGGAACCTAGAGTTGGGGAAGGCTGTAGGAAAATGTAAAATGGAAGAAATAAAATGAATTTTTTTTTTTTTTTTTTT